TTTCAAATCATCAACAAACATTAAGCAAGAGAAACACCATGCTGGCAACCTTCCTTGACTGTGACCTCCATTGTTACGAAACCTTCGGGGTAGGGTTCTTTAAATTGTTTCTGATTTATCTAATTGGACTGGCATGCTGCTTTCCGGTTAGTTAGCATCGCATGAGATTGAGCTTGCGGTTGACGCCATGTGGGGGTCTGGCTAGCCTCTTCTGTCCATTTTTCTGATGGGCCCAAGGATAGATTTACCGGACAGAATAGAGCCTCATAGAGTTTCAAAGGCTGAAAATCTTTATGGGAGCAGACTGCCATGTTTTTCTCCTGCAGAGTGGGCTGGTGGGTTTGAACTGCTTAACCTTCCAGTTAGCAGCAGATTTCTTAACCACTGTACCACCAGGGCTCCTTTCCAGTCTTGTAGCACCACCCTAATTTCCCGTCTGGTCTCTGGAGGTCTCCAGCTGTAGCTCTTCTAGGAGCCCATTAAATGACCAAGCCTTAGAATCTTCTGTGACTCTTGCTTTAAAAGAGAGGTAGGGATAGGAATTGATTTGGGGGTGCCTTCTGAATTCCCAAGTCAGGCTTGAGTACCCCTAGCAGTTTTAATGAACCTGATAGGTTTGGCTGGAATAGGGGCTGGGACTGGGAGGCTGAAACTCCTTTACCGTCTGGAGCTGTCTCCATTCCCCGCCTCCATCATGTTCCTGTTTCATTCCAAGCAGCCCTAGGCAATGGAAGAACACAGATCGGGACTTGCTGTGGGTCTGACACTGGGCACAGGGGGACAGAGTTGCATCCAGGCCTCCTGACGGTCCACTTCTGTCTGATTTCCTGGGTCCATCAGGCATAGCTCCCACTGTGGCTGGAGGGAATGAATGAGGGCAGGAAGTGAGGAGGGTGAAGTGGGTGTGAAGAATGTGTCCAGAGATTGGGTATGTTCCTGATTGTCCCATCTCCTGGCCAATGTCAGCGCTTGTGGATTAGCTAGAGAACAGTAAGGTAGAATTGGAAAGCCAGCTTCCTGAGTATGTTAGCCACGCCCATGGGAGAAGTGCCTTCTGCATCCTACCTTGTCGCTTGATCGTGATTCACTCCTCAGATGTCTGTTGGGTGTCTTGAGGGAGGGAGTCTGTGGGTGGGAAACAGTTGCTCTCTTGGCTAGGGATCTAAAGCAAGGAAAACGGAAAGGTTGGAGGTATGAGTCTGCCCAGAGGTGGCGCGAAAGGAAGGACTGATGGTGTATTTTGGAGTGAGAACCCATCGGCACACAGTTCCACTCTAACACAAACAGGGTCACCAGGAGCTAGAGTCAGCGTGACAGCAGTTGTTCGTTTGCTTTGTGCATTGGTGGACGTGGATATGGAGAGGCTACCCTATAGAAGGGGAAGATGCCACCTCATTGATCCTGGGTAAAGTGGCAGGACTGGTGGACACTACAGACTGCTTCTTGGACCCTCATGATTCAGTGGCTTGTGCTTCCCTGGGCCTCCCTGGTCTGGCCCCCAGCATGAAGGAGCTGCCAGGGTCATCCTGGAAACCCCATCCATCAGAACTTGTCTCCCGTCCATGCCTCCTGGCGGGGCTGCAGCTGGCAGCCTGATCTTGGCAGTGATTCCATAATGGGAGCTGGAGTCATTAAGAAGCCATTACAATCTTCTCACGTGGTTATCGTTTTGTGCTGCCTAGAACGGTGCCCGGAGAGAGGCAGGCTGGGGAAGGGTTGGTGAGAGAGAAGGGTGCCCTAGGAATGGTGTAATAGTGAGAGATGAAGAGCAGGGCCATCTGGGGTGGGAAGGAATGGGGCTTGCGGAGAAGTGAGAGGAACTTGGGGTCCTGCTCTCTTTAGAGATGGCAGTTGTAGCTGGCATTGTTCTCCACAGCACGTTGCCAGTTTGCCGGGGAAACTGTTGTTCACCAGAGACAGATGGTTAGTCAAAAACATCTACCAGTACAAGCTTTTCACTGATAGGGTGTCATATACCTGAGGTGACTGTTCTTTACCTTGTACCCTTGTACTGTTGTACTCTCCTAGAAGCACTGCTTTACCCCATAAAGGCTGTTGGTCCACTCTCAGCACCTCCTTAAGATGGATTTATTGAAGACCCTCTGAGATGGGTCTTGCCCAACCAGGCACATTTTATTAACCAGACACATGTTGCTTCTCCCCATCTGCCGCCCCAAGTCATGTATGCTCCAGTTCTCCTGGCTGCTTGAACATGCCTGGTGAGGTGGTGGGTGGTGCTTCTAGGCATTTGCAGGGTATCTGAGGTTTCTGGAATCCTAACCCCTCCCGTATTCATTCATGTGTTTCTGAAGGATGGTGGTTAAGTTCATTTTACCTGTAATCTTAACATAATGATCAGTGTTCTTGCAGCTGGTGACGCTTCATCATTCTTCTTCAGCAGGGATAGAGATGGGAACAGAGGAAGAGGAAGTCATTCTCAGGAAACCCCATTGGGGGATGCCATGGCAGTGAGATAGTGCCTGCACAGATAAGAACGTTGGGGGCACTGGGCAGTGAGACTCTCATAATTGGAACCCCCTTTTGTCAATCGAGCAGTCGCTGTGACCCAGTTATTCTGGAGGTGGCTTTGCTGACGTCTTACCTTTCAGCTAAATGGCCCCTTTTCCAAATGATGCCAGATGTTAGCGATAGCACCGCGGAAGGCATCTTCTCTGTCCTGCTCAGTCAAGCACAGTGCCAGGGATGACCCAGATGACTGCACAGTCCCTGGCACTACCCTGTGACAATGCAAGTGGTTCATGAAATGCCAGCAAGCTGTGAAATGGCTTCTGCTACTGGCACAAAGGGAAGTGAGCCTGGGTCTCGTGGAGGTCATTCAGGGGCTCCTGGGACCACACCACCACTAGTGTGATTGTATTGTGAGAATTACAGGACTGCCCCGTGCATAGGCACAGAACTTGCTTGGCAGGTGGAGTGTGGTTGCGTTGCCCTCAGGTGTCATTGTGTAGGTTCCAGGCTATTTCCTGGAGGTAGTGGATGAGTATGCCATTGCATCAGCAGCCAGATTCTGGTGGATAGTGGTATTTGGGGACTGACTGAGGGACCCTCTCCTTTAAAGTTGGTCTGTGAACAAACAGATGGTCTTCTGTTGCATGTTCAGTCAGGCCATTTAATCGGAAGTAAAGAGACAGATGGTCAAGTTGTAGGCTCTTGACCTTGATGGTCCCGTTAGTGTCTTGTTCACTCTGGTGCCTTAACTTCTCCTTTTCCAGTCACAAACACCCTCAGTGATGCACAGTTACCTTCTAGGCCAGCTTTTGCTTTTAGGGAGCTAGTTTCCTGTGCTTAGGCCCTAGTGTTGCCCTTGGGGAGCCCAGGACTGAGGCAGCCTGCTGAGCAGTATTCTCTCTGCATTCTGGAAGCTGAGGGTTTACAGAATGACGCTGCTCCTTGTCAGCCTCTTCTGGGTGCAGAACACCGTATGGGGACCAGGGAATGCCTTCCCAGGTGCTGAGTGGCTGAGAATCTGTCTGTACTCTTCAGAAGTTGTGAGCTAGAGTGGTGATGCCAAAGGCTAGGTGTTAGGCTGGCTGTGACCCATGGGCTCCCTCGCACCCTCTGGCTGGTCCCCTTGGTCGTTTGTGATCTTTCAAGTAAATGATTGTTCCAGCTCAAAAAGAGAAGACCACACATACCTCTCCTCTATTCACCTATACCCAGGTCTGCCCACTCCTTACAGGGGTGATTGCATCCACATGTGGATAGACGTAGGCACACATTGGGCTGCCCCTCCAACATGTGCACACCCATGAGATTTCTAAACACACTTCATACAGGTTCACACATGGACTTGAATACAATGGGCACACCTGTGCAGCAGTGTCAAGAGTGTCCAGTAAGCAAGGTAAACACAGGCCTACTTGTACTCACTTAGTCATCTGTTGTGAAGAATTTCACATGGGCTTCACCACATTTTTGTTCATGGCAGATTAGTAAGCACAAGTAAGCCTTTGCTTGCTCACTGCATACTCTGTCCCTGTTAGTTATTGTAAAATTGAAGGGGCTTTGTAAGTGATATGGAGTTGGGAGAGGCAGATGCCAGCCATACCTAGAAGCAGAATCTTTGATGTGGTGAGAACATGTGAAATTGTTCACTCCGGATTAGCAAGTAAGCACAAGCTTACTTTGCTTATTGGGTCATCTGGCTCTGACTCCACTCCTGCTGTGCAGGCACCCCAGATGTGTAACTGGGCCTGGGCAGCTTGTGGGCTCTGAGCACTCTGACCCTAAGGCTCTGGCCCCACCCCATGCAGCTGTCCTGACCTGGACTATCCCTGAGTTTGAGCCTGGTTCTCCCTGGGAAAGAGCGAAGTGGTCTGAGTTACCAGCTCCCTGCTTACACTCTGCCTTCCTGGGATGCAGGGTCAGTCTGGGTGATGAGGTTTAAAACTTGAGGCCTTGGTGCCCTGGTGTCACCTGCACCATCTGGCTGGTTGCTGGGCTGTGTGTGCCAGGCCCGCCTCCTGTGCATAGACGGGACAAGCTGCTTTACCCCCCTGAATGAGAAGGAGAGCCTCAGCCTTCTTTAAGTGGGGCAGGGGATTAGTAGGGCCAGCACCTCTCTCTGCCACCCAGAGAGTCAGGAGCTGGCTCTGAGCAGATGGGAAGAGGATGGATGGGAAGAAGGGGAAGAGCTGTTGAGCTTCTGAAGGGCAGTTGCTGGAAGCAGGTCACTGGGTTTGAAGTGAAGTCTGACTCTGGGGATGCTTCTGGAAAGGTTCTCCCGGATCTCAGTCAAGCTGAGCCTTGTTCAGGGACCCAAGGAGTGGGGTGCACGCTGTATTGACTGGGACCAGGTCTGGGTGGGAAGTCCTTGAGGGTGGCAGGGATCCCAGAAGAGGAAATGTTCCCAAGTGGTTCTCAGATGGCAGCCTCTGCCAGGTGGGCTCACTGAGGCCCAGGAGCCACATGGGAGGGATTGAAAGGCCCTGTGACCTGGTGAGCAGGCCGTGACTGACTACCCCTCTCTCCCTCTGCAGTGTCTTAGATGATGAGGGCAGTAACCTGAGGCAGCAGAAGCTGGACCGGCAGGTGAGTGAGGCCTGGGCGGAGGGAAGAGCAGTCAGCACTGGCATCCTGGCTCATGTCTGGGCTGGGATCTCCACAGGCAGAGGGGAGGGACGGTCCCTGTCCAGGGGTGAGCCTGTTGGACAGGAAGGCGGACACACCTGGAAGAAGAGAGGCTCACACTCTCCCTGTTACCAGCTCAGTACCCAGGGACCATGCTGAGCCAGGCCCCCAGGGTGACCACAGCTGGAGAGCTGGGGTTTGTGTGTGATCCTGCCAGGGTGGTCTTCTGGGTTGACCTCCCTTTCCTGGACCCCCACTTTCGCAGCACCAGGTTACATGGGCCTTGGTTGAGTGGGCTGCAGTATGACCTCTAGAACCCAGCTGAGTAAGCAGACCCTTTTGGCCAGTCCCACTCTGGGACCCCCTGCTGAGGTCTACTTCTGCGCCTCCCCATTGTCCCTAGCGGGCCCTGCTGGAGCAGAAGCAGAAGAAGAAGCGCCAGGAGCCCTTGATGGTGCAGGCCAATGCCGACGGGCGTCCCCGGAGCCGGCGGGCCCGGCAGTCAGAGGAGCAGGCCCCTCTGGTGGAGTCCTACCTCAGCAGCAGCGGCAGCACCAGCTATCAAGGTACGTCAGCCCCCTGCCCTGGGAGGTTCAGCTTCGGTTCTGGGGAGACCCTCAGGGATTTCTGCACCTGGACAGGGGTAGCCAGTCAGGGCACAGGTAAAGCTCCTGCCTGCCCCGGCTCCCAGCCCCATCGGGGGACTGAGTGGAGCCAGCAGGCCCTGTAGCTTAAGCTCAGGCTGTCTTGCCCTCAGTCAGGTGCTGGGCCTGGAAAGTGAAAACTTTATGCATCCAGGTTTTCCATTCAGAGTGAACAGAGCCTGGCCTCCTGAGGAGATACCTCCCCCTCCACCATACCAGTATTCCACACTCTGGGAGGAATCCCTCTTATCCTGCCCCATACCAAGCAGTGTTCCCTGTGGCAGTGCCTGCTCCCTTCCCCCCATGGATTTTCCGCACCCTCAGTTGAGCTGGCTCTGGCCTGGAGGTCCCTTTCCCTGGCTTCTGGCTCCTTCTGAGTGACGTGGCTCCAATAGCCTCTCTTCCCTTACACACTCCAGTTCTCAGCAGAGCCCACTTGTGGGCAGAGGATGGCTTCCTTGCTTCCTTCTTCCTGTGTAGGTCAGGGTTGGAGTCTCTGAGCCTGAGACTCAGTCACCACTGGCCCTGCACCATCAAATCACTATATGGAAGGTCACCAGGAGAAGCCTCCAGGAAGCGCCTCTCCTTCTCTGGCTTCCTCATGGCCTGGGGCCTCCAGCCACGTTAAACTACTAGTAGTTGCTTACTTTAGGACAGGTCTCATCCAGCTGCTGGGACTTTTTCATCCTCCTGCCTCGTAGCGTCGCAGGTTCCTCTGCTGTACTAACCCAGCTTTTAGTTCACTGGGCCCTTGCATCTGTGCCTCGGAGGGCAGTGGTTGCATCTTGTTTGCCTACTGAGCAGTCTATGGTTTGGCACACCATACCAGCTCAGTACCCACTGTGTACAATCACACTTTCTGAGGAAACCCATTTTGTTTCTGTTATAAAGGTTGTCTTTGGGCATTTGCCAAGAGCTGGGTCATGGTGTGGATAAAACACTGCACCTCAGGATTAGTTTGAGCCACAAGGTCATTGGTTCAAACTCACCAGTCACTCCTTGAAAACCCTACACAGGGTCACTATGAGTAGGAACCAACTCAGCAGCCCTTAACAACAATGACAACAAGCAGGGTGCGAGGCTGATGTCATCATGGCATGAACTCTATCAACACATGACCCACACTGTGATGGGCCTGAGGGGCGCAGTGACGGCCATGGTCCACAGCTAGGGATGGGGCTGAAATTTTGTCCAGTTCTTAGTGGTGATCTCAGCCCCCAAATCCCTGGGAGGCTGCTGCACATGTGGCCAGCTGACCTGGGGCTTGGTGACTCCAAGATCGCCCTTCTCCACCACCACCACTCCTCACAGCATTAGCTGCTGTCTGCTCTGCCCTCTGCTGGCTCTTGGTATGAAGTACAAGGGGATTATTCCCAGAGAAAGGTAGGGAAATTTGATTTAAATGAGCACTAAATGGTCCTGGTGTAGCACTGTAGGATCAGCTCTGGACTGTGAACCACAGGGTCAACAGTCCAAACCCAAACTCACCAGCTGCTCCTGGGAAACCCTATATGAGTCTCTGTGAGTCAGCACTGACTCTATTGCACTTAACAGCAACAGCAGTGGGTTACCCAGTAAATGTGATTTGACTGGTACAGAGCTCTGGTAGCATAGTGGTTACGAATTGGGCTGTGAAACTTAAGGTCACCAGTTCGAAACTACCAGTTGTTCCCCGGGAGAAAGATGAGGCTTTCTGCTCCCGTAAAGATTTATAGCCTCAGAAACCCTGTGCAGGGTCACTGTGAGTCGGAATCGACTCCACGACACATAACCACTGGCCCTTTTCATTCATGTTAGCATTAATTCACTAATTGAGGACCTACCGTGTGTCTAGGCCTGGATTAGAGGCTGGAGGCCCCGGGTGCATGAGCACATATAGTGTGTGTAGTTACTGCTGCCCCCTGGAGGCTTACTGTCCAGAAGGGAGCAGAGGTACACAGAGGATTCGAGACACTCTGAGGATATGACAGAGATCTTGTTTTCAGACTGGGGAGAGAGAGCTCCCTGACAAAGTGCCCTTGGAGCTGACATTTGTTGGATGAGTGGGAGTTGATCAGACTAAAGGAAGGTAGTAAGGGTGGTCCAGACAACAGAATCAGCTAGCCCATGAGCCCTGTGACAAGAGGGAGTCCAGGAAGTACAAGGCAATGGCAGAGCCTGGGTGGGGCAGGCCAAGTGGAAGGGAAATGGCATCTTAAGAGCAATCAGAAGCCACTCAAGATTTCTGAGCCGATTGGGGTTCTGTTGTGCATCGGATTTGAGGCCACCCGGCTGTGACTCTTGGCTCCCTTTACCCCAGCTACGCTCTCCCAGCCTGGGCTCTGAGGGTCTGTGCAGGGTCCCTGGCCTGCTTGCTTGCCTGCTGTGGCTTCTCTCAGCAGATACAGTCTTTTCTGTTGTCCTCCACTATCTTGGATGATCCACATTGTCACACACACTCTCCCGCCTCAGCACAGTTTGCTGGTCCACCTCTGGCTGCCTGTTTCTTGGCTTGTCATGGTTTGGGCCAGACTTTAGACTTTCTCTGACTGGCCCCTAAGCAGGCCTGCCTTAGGCCCCTTGGCCTGGTAGAGATGAGTGGGACCTGGCTTTGTGGGTCAGGGAGATGGTCCAGAGGCCTTGGGGACTCGGGGGGGTGGGGGTGGGGGGACCGGGAACTGCTCTGCTGTGAAGAGTGTTCCAGTTAAAGCCCTAGTTTCACCCAGTGCCCATTGCTCTCTCCATCTTGGGTTCTCTCCTGAGCAGTTCAAGAGGCTGACTCACTCGCCAGTGTGCAACTGGGAGCTGCCCACCCAACAGCACCAGCCTCAGCCAGACGAACCAAGGCAGCAGCTGCAGCAGGAGGCCAGGGTGGGGCCTCTAAAAAGGAGAAGAAAGCGAAGCACAAAGGTGAGTTTTCCTTCCCTGCATCCCTCCTCACTGTGGGGTGGGACAGATGTGGAGATGAGGGACGGGAAGGTGGCCTCAGTGAAGAGCCTGAATAGCACTCAGAGCACACATACACCTGAGCTCACAGGCCTTATGCAGCTTGAGAGAGTCTGGGCTGACTGAGGGGAGGGTGGACAGGCCCTCCATGCTACCAGGAAGTGAAGTCCAGCTCTGCTGTGGCCTAGACCCCACTCTTCACCTGAGCTCCCTCTGCTTTGATCCCCTGGACTTGGCCACAGCCTTCGGCTGCAGCCTCTCTTATCCTCCCAGGCAGTCTGCCCCCTCTTTAGGTGGAACTTGCCATCAACTCTTCCTCATAAAATGGCTTCTCTCAACTCCCTACTCCAATCCTGATCCTACCCGCTGGACTCATAGATCAGTCTGTCCCATCTGTTCCTCTCGCTGAAAAAACTCTCAGAGCTCAAGGACATTGACTGTTCCCTGCTGAGAGTCCTCAGACATTCCATCTCCTCCGTTTCCTGGCTCTGGGTCACAGATGGACAGTGGTTTGTCAGGGTTTGCGGGCTTCTGGAACTGACTAACATTCTGGGTGTAGCCTGGTGGCTACCACATGTGTGGTCCAGACCTTGGTTTTGTATGGAAACTATGACAGCTTGGGCCGGGAGATAGATGTGGTGTAGGGGGTCCTCCACCTGGGCAAGTGAATGTCTGTCAACGTCAGTCTTTTACAAGATGTCCCTTATGTGTGGACCGTGGTAATGGTGTGTGTGAGTAACTGTGTTGTGTGTGTGCTTGTGAGAGAGAACACTCGCATTGAGAACTTACAGCTGGCCGTGTCCCTGAAGGACCATCAGCTTCTACTATGGTCTGGATCAATCCCTGTTCTCCGTCTTGTTTTCTCTACTGAGTGCTTGGTTCTTCAGATGATTCCTGTCTGCCTTAGGGATGTGAGAGATTGCAGAGCCCCCTTAGGGATGTGGGGGATTGCAGAGCCCCCCTTGGCAGTGAATTTTGGGAATAGCCAAAGAAATGAAGCTCACACTTCTTCATAGCTGACTGATTGAACAGGCTGACAACAGTTGTTAGTTTTTTAAAACTCAGTTTTACAAATAAAGTTTTGCAGAGGGCCCCCCTCTCATCCCTCATCCTTCGTGGACTTCTGAGAATGCAGGCCCAGGTCCTCCCCCACCCCCCTGGATGGGACTCAGAAGTGTCCATGGCCTGCAGGCGTCGGCGGGCCAACAACATTGGCTGAAGACAAGTCTGAGGCCCGAGGCCCCGTGCAGATCCTGACTGTGGGCCAGTCAGACCACGCCCAGGACTCGGGGGAGACGGCAGCTGGTGGGGGCACGCAGCCCCATGGGCAGGACCTCCGTGCCGCGATGCAGAGGAAGGGTGAGCCCCGCGGGGGCCCAGTGACTCCCTGAAAGTGCAGACTTGGGTTCCCAGATACACCCTTCTCCAGAAGCATCATCTTCCTGTGCCTGTTCCAACCCCCCCATCCCACCCCCAAGTAGTAGGGGACACACTTAGAGATAAATGAAGAACTTTAGGGCAGGGCCCCTGGCAAGGCTGAGTTAAGGGAAACTGCCCCAGCGAAGCCCAGGCTTGAGGACAGATGGCCTTTCCCTTCAGTTCCACAGAAGGAGCTCCTAGTGCCTAGCGCTCCCAAATGTCTGCTAGGCTGGGGTGACCAACAGGCATGGCAGCCTCTCCTCGGAAGCCTGCTGCCCTGACAGTTGCCCCCCTGTGAGCTCTGCCCTAGGGAGCTCCTGGGGGGTGGCTGAGGGCAGGAACCTGGCAATGCCACACCTGTTCTGAGGAATCTGGTACAGAAGGCAACACCCACGTGGGTAGAAGAATGTAGACAAAAAAGCTCAGGGCAGATAAATGTTCCTGAGGAGTCAGCAGGCCCTGCAGGCCAGGTGGAGGAAGGAGATGCCATGGTCTATCCTAGCCAAGGCCTCTCGTAGGCCTGAGGTTAGAAAAGGGAAGTTTCCAGGGCAGGGTCACTTCAGTGTAGACCTTGATATACTGGAACTGGGGGCTGTAGAGAGAGGGACCACCAGAGGGACTGAACTGAAGCTGGGTGGTGAGGGAGTGGGGCTACCATGAGGATCGTCCCCAGCCCTAGCTGACGTGTGCACGAGAGGTGTGTGTGTCCTTGCATACATCTGGATATTTGTGGGTATCTGTGTGTTAATGTATGTACGTACGTATGGCTTTGTGTGTGCCAGTGTCTGTGAGTATCTGTCTATCTGAGTATGGACATGTGTTCATGTGTATTTCTGGGGTCACCTCTTTCTCACTCCTTTCTTCCTGCCCCTCTGACTGACCCAGGTATTTCCAGCAGCATGAGTTTTGATGAGGAAGAAGAAGAGGAGGATGAGAACAGTTCCAGCTCCTCCCAGCTGAACAGCAACACCCGCCCCAGCTCTGCCACTAGCAGGAAATCCACCAGGGTGAGTGAGACGCTGGCCTTACAGCAAAAGCTTGGAGTGGGTATGTGGAGAAATGATGGGGAGTTGGCTTTCTTAGAGCCAGGGGCTGGACCTGGACTCCTCCTTTCCAGGAGGGTGCTGGGAGACCTCTGAGGATCTGCCCACAATCCTGTTCCCACCTGCAGAACTGTGGAGGGTGAGGGCAGGGTTGGAAGGTAGTTCCAGACCCTTGGCTCACCAGGCCCACATCCCAGAATTCCCACCCTGTCTGCCCCATCACGGGCATCTGGATCCCAGACCACCAATTGTGTAGTGTCCCAGGGCTCAGGCTCCTTGTTCTCTACCCTGTAGGAGGCAGCTTCAGCCCCTAGCCCAACAGCCCCAGAACCACCGGCAGATGTCGAGGTCCAGGATCTTGAGGAGTTTGCCCTGAGGCCCGCCCCGCAGGGTATCACCATCAAGTGCCGCATCACGCGGGACAAGAAGGGGATGGACAGGGGCATGTACCCCACCTACTTTCTGCACCTGGATCGTGAGGATGGAAAGAAGGTGAGGTTGGTCTCGACCCGCTGTCTCTCGTAGGCAGGCTTGAGGTCCTAGTGGCTGGAAAGTGGCTAGAAGCCACAGATCCTTTCAGCTCCCCAGAGACATGGGAACCTCCATGCCTGGTCACTTCACACCTTTGTATCTGACAGTGCATACAGGCATTTGGGAACTGAAGCAAGGGCGAGTCACTGGTTGGTGTAGATTCAGGTGTGTGAGCGGCACCCATGATTGTGTGTGGACCAGAAGCTGGGTCTGGAATGTGACTTTGCTCCACTTCTCAAGGTGTTCCTCCTAGCGGGAAGGAAGAGAAAGAAGAGTAAAACTTCCAATTACCTCATCTCTGTGGACCCAACAGACTTGTCTCGAGGAGGGGAAAGCTACATCGGGAAACTACGGTACCAGCACTCCCCCAGGAAGCACATAGGTGTGGGAAAGAAGGTGGGGGCAGGTTCTCAGTGCAAGGCATCTCCTGTCCCGGAAGGAGATCTAGGCCAGACTCTCAGACTTCATCCTCTCTGTCCATCAGATCTAACCATAAGCCAAGGCCTGTGACCAGTCTAGAGTCAGACTAGGAGTTGGGCCTCATACAGCATATCCTAAATTTCTGTCAGGCTGATGAGATTGGAGAGCAAGCCCACCAAGGGTGGCAGATGAAATCCCAGAATGTCATTTGAGGATAAAGGCCACCATGCCTCCATGATCTGTGCCAAGGGCAGGGCTGGGAATGAGCCTTGAGTGGAGAGTCACAGCAATCTTGGGATGGGGATGAGAGGAAGGCTCTGAGCTGGCTGGGTCTCAAGGAAGAGGTATGGTATGCCGGGAATAGAGCATCAGATTGGGACTTAGAGACAAGGAGCTAACGCTAGAGCTGGGACTGGAGCCAGGGCCTGGACCAAGAACCATAGGCTGAGTTCTCCATTGGTTGAATACCCTCGATAGCCTTTCCAAATGCCATTCTGCTTGCTCACCTTTATAGGAGGCACTCCTGTTCACCCAGGGAAATGTGTGGAACCCAAAGTTCCTTTCCTTGATTTCGCTCATGAACTAAGATGCCCTCAGAGTTAACTCAGAGCACATCCATGCCTTCTGCTCATGAAGCTCCTTCAAAGATGTGGGTTTAGTAGCAGGGTGGCCACTGGTCCACCCCAGAATGCTTTGCAGGCTCCTCATAGGACAGACAATGAGCTGCTCCCTGCCCTGGGGCAGAGGATGCAGGACGTTTACTGATTGTGTCTTTCTTTCAGGTCCAACCTCATGGGCACCAAGTTCACTGTTTATGACAATGGAGTCAATCCTCAGAAGACACCATCCTCTACTTTGGACAGTGGAACTTTGCGTCAGGAGCTGGCAGCTGTGTGCTACGTGAGTCCTGGGTTGCTGTCTCTGGTCTCAAAGTAAGATTAAAACCTAGGTCTGGTTGCCTGATCTAAGGACCATCTCATAGTCTTGGGTAGACATGGCTGGGTAGAGAGGGGCACCCTCTTTGGTGTGGCCCCTGCCTGGGACAGGAAGTCCCTGGCGCTCCTGCCTTCAGGGCTCAGCCCACTCTGCAGCCTAACCCAGGCTCCTTACGGAAGGAGGCAGGTTGCTTTCTTGCATGTGCGTCCATTATATCATCCCCCAGTGTGCCAGGTGCTGCATGGATTACAAGCCCCTTTGTCTAGTCATCTGCTAACTGTTCATGACAGCCTAAGCACTAGATACCGTTTCCTTTAATATGTATCTGAGGAAACTGAAGAGCAGAGGTTAAGCCACTTGCTAAAGTCACACAGCTCGTATCAGTGATCAAACTGGAATGCAAATATGGGACTTTCTCTATATTGCTGAACCTCAGAGTTTCCTCATTTTAAAAATGAGAGTGCACTGCCACCCTCAGCTTGGGGGCCAACTGGAAAGTCACAGCTATTTTTGTATGGTCCAGTGGTGCCACCTGCTGGTCAACTGTGGTAAGGCCGCTTGAATTTTTTTGTGTTAGTAGTGAACAAAGCAGACACGATACATTTTTACCCTTATGGAAGTTATCACTAGTCAGGAAGACAACTTATAAAATAGTCATACAAGTTAAATAAACAGTACGTTTCTGATAAATGGTAAGATAAAAATAAAGGTGGGAAGGAGCATATGAAACGTCAAGGTGTGTGTGAGTTTAGGAAGGTAGGCAGGGAAGGCCTTCTCAAGCAGAGTTCGTTGCTAAGAGCTGTTGAGTTGGTTATGAATCATAGTGACACTGTATAGGGCTTCCTAGGATCGGTTAGTGACCTTGAACTGCCAACCTTGTAATTCAAACTGACCTTGCAGTCTAGCACGTTAACGCACAGCGCCACATCAGAACTCTGCTCAAGTAAAGTAGAAGGAACTTAAAAGCAACCAGGCTGGGGAAGGCAGAGGGAGCAACAAGTGCAGGGAACCTGAATGCCTGCAGCGTCAGGGGAATAGCACAGAGGGGACTCAGTGACGAGGACAGTCAGGATATAGGGGCTGTATCCTGGAGTGGCACTTTAGGGTAAACACTGGACCACCAGGTCAGTTTGAACCACAAGGACTGTGATTCACACTTACCAGCCGCTCCTCAGAGACCCTCTACAGGTCACTATGAGCTGGAACTGACTCGATGGCACTTCACCACCACCACCACCACCACCACCACCACATCATGTAAGGCTTTGTAATCACCTTTCACTCTGGGTGAACTGGGACGCAGAAGAGGAGAAAATGGCATGACATGTATCTTAACAGGGCTCTATGCTGCTGTATAGAGAACAGATGGTGGGGGAGAGGGGCTGGGGACCAGTGGCAGAAGCAAGGAGCCCAGTCAAAGGTTCTTTCCGTGATCTCGGGGAGAGGTGGGGGTGTGATGTGGCCACCTTCTGGATATAATTTGATTGTAGAGCTTACAGAATTTGCTGATGGGTTAGAAGTGGGGAAAGAAAGGGATCAAAGAGCTCCAGAAATTTTGCTGGAGCAGATGGAAGAACTGAGTTGCCATTAACTGAGGTGAGGAGACTCTAAGAACTGTTTTGGGCTAGAGTGGACTTCCAGGAGTTCAGTTTGGATCACATTGAGTTCGAGGTGCTTATGCTAATATCCAAGTAGAGAGGTTGAAAACTGGCTCAGCCATCATCTTTGTCCCCTAATTTTATCCCTTGCTATTTCCCAGGAGACAAACGTCTTAGGCTTCAAGGGGCCACGGAAGATGAGTGTGATTGTCCCAGGCATGAACATGGTTCACGAGAGAGTCTCCATCCGGCCCCGCAATGTGAGTCCCTGCCCCACCTTTCCCCATTTCCCATCGTCCTAGCCTCTGCATGAGCTTCTAAGAGCAGAATTCCAGCTAGTGTGTGGAAGTGTAGGAGACACAGTGCAAGCAGCCTGAGAAGTTTAGGGAAATCTCAGGCCCCCCTCCCTGGGACTGAATCCTCTTTGGGGTGGTCATGGTGCCAGGGCCTGGGCCAGGCTCAGGTGAGGCTGCCCTCCCAGGACCATGAGACACTACTAGCACGTTGGCAGAACAAGAACACGGAAACTGTCATCGAGCTTCAAAACAAGACTCCTGTCTGGAATGATGACACACAGTCCTATGTCCTCAACTTCCATGGGCGCGTCACCCAGGCCTCGGTGAAGAACTTCCAGATCATCCATGGCAATGACCGTGAGTGTTTCTTCCCCAGTTTGTTACTGTCCACGTCATAGACCTGGGGCCCTTAACTCAACGTCTGGCTCACTTAGTGCTACCCATTCTGACCAGAGGTTAGGATGTGGGCTGTGTGGCTTAAATTAAGAGGTAAGAACTTCAACCATAATAGTTGGGTGGTCTTGCAAAAACCTTCTTTAGAACCCCGACCCTAGAGTCTGGGCACTCTTTTGAATGGACTTTTCCTTTTTTTCCCTGTCTTCTGGTGTTTGTCTTACATCTTTCTTTCTCCTCTACCATCTGCTGCCTCTCTTCTGCCACATCTCCCAATTGGACTGTGTTGCATCTCCTCTGGGATTATCTTGGCATCTCTGCTTCTTGCTTTCCTTTCCGCCTTGTGGTCTGAGTATCTGTCTGTCCTTCCCTATTGCTGCCATCCCTACTCTGTCCTGTTTTTGTCCTCTCTGTTCATTTCTCTGCCCATGCTTGTGCCTGGCCCCAGCGGACTACATCGTGATGCAGTTTGGCCGGGTAGCAGAGGACGTGTTCACCATGGACTATAACTACCCACTGTGTGCGCTGCAGGCCTTTGCTATCGCCTTGTCCAGCTTCGACAGCAAGTTGGCCTGCGAGTAGAGGCCTCCTCGTGCCCTTTGGGGGTTACTCGACGTGGAGTGGAGCTTGCCTGCCTGCCTGCCAGCGGAGACAGCCCTGCCTGCCCTCTGTACATAGGCCTCCTGCCAGATGAATCTTTGGCCTTGAGTAGGCTCCTCTGCTCCTCTGCTGAGACAGGAGAGTGAGAGCAGTAGGTGGGTCTGAAGGGACCAGAGTGAATTCCTTCTGTGCCCCATCTTGCTCCTATGTTAGTGCCCTGCTGTAGTCGTGTTTGCCAAGCTGGGCAACCTCTTCGGTTGGGAAGACCTGGTGTGGCGTTGAGGGAGGGGAAGCACAGTGCAGGCTGCTGTGGCCCAGCTATCAGATGACAGCAGGCGCCCCACAGTGAGGGGCAGAGGATGTGCGTGCGTGTATGTGTGTGTGTGTGTGTGTGTGTGGGAAGAGGCTCGGTGGCCAGGCCTGGTTGTCTGGCTTCCTGCCTGGTGTTGGGGCTTGGAGAGGCCCTTTACCTAGACGGTCCCAGCCAGGCCTGGGAGGAATTAGGATCAGAGCAGCAGGGTGACGGTGTGAGGCAAGGTGAGTGACAGGCCCTTGCCAGGACTGCAGGGGTCTGGCTGTCTCTGGGCTGTGGGAACTGGCTGGAGGCCTCCAGTTCAAGTTCACGGATTCTCTAGGTTTGCTTTGCACTGTCAGGGGCAGTGGGAAAAGGCCAGGTGTCTCCATGGACAGGGTGTGCGGGGCAGAGGCTCAGCATGTGGGGAACAGGGTCCCTGGGGCAGGCTATTCTGCCAACTGCCTCAGGAGCTCCCTGCTGAGCAGCCTCCACTACCCCCGGGAACTGTCGATGAGGTGCAGGTCACTAGCCCCAGGCTACACACAAGCTAAGCCAGCCCAGGGCTCTTGCTGGGAGCCACCCATTCGTAAGCCAAGATGTGCTCCAGGCTGAATTTCTCTCTGGAAAGACCCAGCTCCCGGTGCTCTTGTCTGTGTGTCAGTGTGAGAGCTTGAGTGTGGCTCCTGAAGGTGGGGAGCTTCAGTGTGTAGTTCTTGGGTGGGAAATGGGACAGGGCAAGGAGAGCAGGGTGTAGTATAGAACCATATGGGTTAGATGTGGCAGGACTCTTAGAAATCAACTAGTACAACCCCATCACCTTAGGTGCATCACATCCAGAAAATGGGACTTGGAAAATGGTCACTTAGCTGGTTAGCGGCAGAGTTCAGAACCTCAGGCTCCCTTGTTTCCTTTTCCCTCATGAAGCTGGTATCTTCAGGCATCTCTGGTCTTCCTGGGGCCCAGTCTGCATGCCCTTTTCCCCTTGCCATGATTCCAGAAAAATGTCAGAGTTGATGTGTACAATTGAAAAACCCATTAGGAAATCGAGCTTTTTGCATACCAGTCTGGTCAGGATTGGCCTGTGTCTGGCCCCTCCAGGAGAGCTGCTCAGCCGGCGGCACACCCTAGCGAGCTGTACCTTTCTCTGCCTGGGTGTGGTCAGTAGGGCGTGAGTGTCCAGGGCTGGGCCATACCGCTCCTTGGGTGGCACTGTCCACCCTACAGGCTTGGATCTTCTAAGGACTTGCTCTTTTGTCATTTGCTCTGGATGAGGCTTCTTGCTCAGAAGGTCAGAAATCAGTGGGCAACAAGCAGGAGTTGTACCTTTAGAGCAGCTATACTTGGAAAGGTTAAGTAAAACTGGGTTTTTAAAAATAAAACCATATTTCAAACATGCGACTGTAAGTGAAGGAGATGCTTTGACTTGGAAGGAGTTAGCTCGCCATTCTTTGTGATCCTGGTTTTGCTGTGCTGAGTGCTTAAGGCAAGGCACAGCTGTGCTAGGATGGATCCACCCACATCGCAGACAGACTGACCTCTCTACTGGTCTAGCTTTTTTTCCCCTTCTAAATCTGATTTAGTTTCAAGACAATTCTTGAGGGCCATTTTGAGGACATTAGAAGTTTCTTTGCTGGGGCTGGTCCACTCCCCAGTGAAATATCGTGGTGCCATCTACTCTTTCCACAGTCCCAATTCAACCTCCCTTCTCTGACTGTAGTGAAAAGAGACCTGCTGCTGATGTGTGTGTGAGGGTAGAAATTCTCTTGATAGCTAGGTCTGGTCATGCTGGCTCTCTGGGTCTGGAATTCTATAGTGGAATGGGCTGATTTTGGACCCTAGGGGAAGCGGGACCTTGGTAGGAGACTGGAAAACTCAGAAGCACAATGGAAAACTCTTAGCTTTTGCTTTTCCTCTAGAACACAGAAGAAGGGCTGGCTGGATCTTTTGATACACTGTAGTATCAGGAAATGGGGATCCTAGGCTCTCCAGCATGGACTTGGAGAAGGGTAGCCTCAGCACCAAAACCCTGTTTTGGATGTTGAGTCCTGAGTAGGAGCAGCTGAGTCACCTGCTTGAGACCCAGCCTAGCAAGGTCTGCTCTTAAAGCGCCACTCCAGATCCTGCTGGTTTTTAGTGACCTCTAGCCCGCAGCCATGGACCCAAAGACTTCTAAAGCTTACAGGCCCTGCCGACCACCTGGGTTCAGTGTCTCCTATAGCAAAAGTTTGTGCAGTCCCTAAGGATGTTGAGCAGCGGGCTCCTTTTCTGTATCTGCTCCTGGATCTATAGCTCCTTCTGGGGCCAAACCCCAAAACTCTACACCCCAGTTATTCTACAGAGTGGTGAAGTTCACTTCCCCTACTCTTATTCAATTCTATCTAGCTTTTCTTTACTTCTGGCTCCAAGGTGCTCTGTGTCCGTCTGTGTGTGTCTGTCTGCGTGTCTGTGTGTATCTGGGGAAAAGGGCAACCTGCAAACAATCAGCTGAGGTTTCTAGTATCATATTTCTAAGGATGAGAAGGAAAGGAATAAGGGTGTAGTCACAGTCCCCAGTGAATTTTGTTCATTCATTTCATGTTCTTTGAACAGAAAGTGTATCTGGGAAAGTACCAGCTTGTTCTTCTAGGGCTCAGATTGCTTGTTTTTCACTTTCTACGTCACATTGCCTAAAGACATCAGTGTGCTGCATGCTTGCTTTTGGATGGAATTTGAACGTAATCTAGTGAATGTGCCTTAAAAATCAAGACACTAGTTCAGCGGAAGCACGTAAGTCTAGGCCCATGGTGAGGATAGATGTTGGAAGCCTGGCGGTGGAGTGTGATGGTCACAGGCTAAAAGGGAACCTTTGGAGTCTGTCTCCTTCAGTGACAAGTTGATGTTGTTAAGTGCTGTTGAGTCACTTCTGACTCATAGCGACTCTGTATAGGGTTTCCATAGTGGCTGAACTGCCAACTTTGTGATTCAAACTGACCTTGCAATCCAGTGCTTATCCTACAGTGCCACACCAGGACTCCTCAGTGACAAGTAGGGCAACAGAATTGTAGAAGCAGCAGTTGTTTTTCACTCTGGAAATAACAGGGCATTTATCTGAGAGGCAATTCTAAATTTAACATGCAACTGGGTGATGTCAAACTGAAAGGCTCCTGTTTCCCTCATGGTGGGGTCTGCAGCAAAGGGAGAAGCTAGGCGAGCCATGTCCATGGCTATTATGCAAGCACAAATGCCGCCTCCCAGGTGGAGCCCCTGGCTTTCCCTTACTGCAGGACCGCTGGCCCTCCCTTCTCTCCAGTCCCTCTCACTCCAGCCACACCACCTTGTGTGATTTGCAGGTGGCCCTTAGAGCACACTAGTTAGTCCAGATAGCTGATGTGTCTGCTTTCCCGTGCCCAACACTGTGCCTGGGGCCCATCTCTGCCCTGGACCTTGGCTTATAGCCCCCAGGAACAGGCCAAGGGATGGGATCTTGTTTGACTGGCCACTTGTTCTTAAGAACCTTCATTTGGCAATTTTCTGTCATCTCAGGATACCTGGGAGGGAAAGAGCATAAGTATTGGGACAGGTTTAATTTTCCTTTCCATTTTCTAACCAAGTTAAGGGGCGAGTTGGTCTTACAGAAAAGCTCTACTTAGTAGCCATGTGATTTTGAGCAAATCATTTGATCTTTCGAGGTCTGCAACGTGAGGAGGTTGGTCTGTGAAGCTCCCCAGTGGGATTCGGGGTGAAGGAGGTAATCCTTGCTTCCATTACTACTTTTTCTAGCTCATCACTGTGCCTTTTTTCTTTCCTAAGAAAGACATCACACCCCTCTCCTCCTCTGTTCTACTGCCCCCCTCCCCCCAACCCCACCAAGGGCCTGGCGGAGCTGGAGCCTAGGCTGAGATCCAGAGTTTCCTGGAGGGCAACGTGGAGTGACTTAGAAATGATGTAAGCCTGACTTTGGTGACAAAGGGGACTTGGTCAGGATGGGTGACGGTTCTCTTGCTGGGGACTTGCATTTAGCCAGTTTTCATAATGCCTAGAATGTGTATGTCTATTTGCACAAGATTGTCTTTTCCTATTTCCAAGTGGTCAGACATTTTATTTTTGCTCAAAATTATCTGGAGTTTTAGAAAAACTTGCAAAACTGTGCTTTTCTTAAGTGACTTTTTAAATAAACTCTTTGGTATTCTGGAGCAAATGTATTTATTTACTGGTATGTGCAATGACAAACTTGGTATTTTCCCATGTTGACATTATGTATGTTGTAGAATTTGGTGTTTGTCTAAGTACAGAACATATACCAACAAATTAAACTTGAATTGTTTCAACACTGCTGTGTACGCTTTTCTGTTTCCTTCTAGAAGGAGAAAGCCATGTCTGTTTCCTGAAGTTTTTTTCCTACCCCATTCATTCATCGTGACCTAGGAGTCTCTGAGGTGGGAGGGCAAGTGGTCATAACAACATGGGATCATATAGCTAGTATGTTGTTTAGTGCAGACGGGTCGGTTCCAACTCGTAGCACCACTGCATGGAGTGGCTGGTGAGTTTGAACTGCCAACCCTGTGGTCAAGAACTTATCCTGTAGCGCCATACAAGGACTCCATGGCTTGCACAGAACCAGTGATACATGGCTCAGAACAGCCCTCCCTGTGGCTTTGCTCTTCATTTAAAAATGGTCAGAACCGTGCCTAGAAGCTGGGAAAAGACGGGACAATGAAGAGGTTCAAACCTACTTAGTTTAGGGTGCTCCTCCTCAGGATCAGCTATGCCAGCTAGCGGTTCCTAAGTGTGCTCCTGTGGAACAAAATGGGACTTTAGAATGGGGGTGGGGGGATGGAAATGG